AAGGCAACATATGTGTGAGTCATGTTTTCTTATCCATTCAGCTACTCTATGTCTTTTGATTGGAACATTTAATCCATTAACATGTAAGGTCATTATTGATAGGTATTTATTAATTTTTCTTCTTTGTGCCCATGTTCTTCTCTCTCACTCTTTTCCTTTCTCTTCTTATAGTAGTCCCTTTGGCATGTTTTGTAGTGTTGGTTTGGTGGAGATGTATTCTTTGAGCCTTCTTTTGTCTGGGAAACTCCTTATTTCACTTTCCATTTTAACTTAGAGCTGTGCTAGGTAGGGTAGCCTTGGTTGCAAGCCTTTGCTTTTCATTACTTTGAATATTTCTCTCCATTCTCCAGTCTCCAGAAACACTCCAGTCTCTCCTGGAATGGAGTGTTTCTGTTGAGAAGTCAGCTGCTAGTCTTATTGGAGCCCCTTTGTATATTACTTCTTGTTTCTGCCTTGCTGCTTTTAAAATTCTCTCTTTGTCTTCAAAACTTAGAATTTTAATTATGATATGTCTTGGAGTAGGGGTGTATGGGTTCATCTTGATTGGGACTCTATATGTCTCCTGCACTTGTGTGGTTTTTCCCTCTCCAGGTTTGGAACTTTTCTATCATTATTTTTTAAACAGAGCTTCTATCCCTTGTTCCTATTCTTCTCCTTCTGGTATTCCTATGATTTGAATGTTTTTGTGATTCACTTTATCTTGGAGTTCTCTTAAGCTATCTTTATAATTGTTGAGTCTTTTTTCATGCAGCTACTCTTCCTGGGTATTTCTTTCCACCTTGTCTTCCAGCTCACTAATTCAGTCCCTTGCTTCATTCAGCTTGCTTGTAATTACTTCTAGTTTTTTTTTTATTTCAGAAAATATATTCTTCATTTCTTCTTGGTTTTTGTTTATAGTTTGCATTTCCTTTTTAATACTGTTGTTGTTCTCACTAAGTCCCTTGTAGTTGTCTGTGAGATCCTTGAGCATCCTTATAACCATTACTTTGAATTCTATATCTGATAGTTTGCTTACCTCCATTTCATTTAGCCCTTTTAGTGGGGAATATTCCATTCATTTTTATTGCAGGTTCTTTTTTGTCTCCATTTTAGGTGACTCTTTTTTGTTTGTTTCTGCACTTCCTGATGTTCTGCTTTGCTAGCTGTTAGTATGTTGTACTTTTATGGTAGGAATTCTAGAGGATTAAGTGGTGTGGTCTCTTTATCTCCTTGTTTGGATGCTCTAGGGTTGTGCTTTCTTTTATTTATGTGGGCTATCTTCTTGTACTTGGGTTTCCCCCTGTTGGTGGATCCTTTGTTGATGGGTTCTATCTTCCAGCAGGTATATTGGTGTTCACAGCACCCATCTACTCTTGTATGTGATCAGTTGCAGGGTGAAGGCAAAATGGACTAAGACAGTGGTAGAGTATTCTGTGGATTTAAAATACTAACATGTAGAGAGGATATTGGAGATCCTTTGAATAAGTATAGCATTAACCATGATATTTCACCCAACTAGACACTTTTTATAAAAGGTGAAAAAGAGATAAGATAAATTAGAATGGGGAAGGATTGTGGGTTGAATCCAGAAAGACAGAGCGCTTGTGGGAGGTCAAATGATGAGATATAGTGAGAGTAAAGGATAGAAAGTAGGTATAGTGTGTGAGAGAATAGAGTTAACAACAACAGCAATAAAGCTCTGGAAGATAGTGAAATGGACTAAGATCACTGAGGGGTGCTACGTTGTATTTGCAATTATATGGAACAACAATTATTTACAATAATACTGGAACAACAATAATATGACAAGAAATATATGATTTGAATAACAAGAATAGAAAATACATGAAAAGAGTAGTGTAACATTAAAACACAAGTGAAGTGAAAGAAAGAAAATTAAAATAGAATATGAAAGAGAGAACAAGGAAAACCAGCCAAACAATGCAATTAAACAAGCAAATAAAACAAAGAAAACTAAAAAGAAGAGAAATAAAAAATGCTAATAAAGTAAAAATAAAAATAATGAAAAAATAATAATACAAATAAACAATAACATGCAAGTTCTCTGGAGTAGCAAAGTGAAATTTTTCTGTTTCTCAGTTGTGGAGGTTGGCCTTGCATTCCCTCTTTGGGTCTGTCCCTGGACCCTTCACTGCTCCAGGTCTTATTGTCTTAATTTGTGGGTGGTGGCCGGGGGGGGGGGCGCATTTGGATGGAGCCTCCTGCACACTTTAAACCTGCCTAGTGAATTCTGCTGCTCTTCCTGGATGCTGCAGGCTGAGGAGGGTTGGGTTTCACTTTTCTCCCTTCTTTTGTTTTTGCGAGGATGGGCCAGGTCTGGGCTGAGATCTTCACAGTTGCTCATTCTCCAGCCCAGTAACTCAGTTCACTGCCGGCCCCCACTATCCATCTGCACCAGGCTGGTGCCTTTAATCCATCAGCCATGACCTCAGTGAGGTGCACTAACTAGGGACAACTCACATACCACCTTCTTCCTCTTTGCTGGCCTAGGTGCTGGGCATCCTCAGAGTCTCTTCAGGGTAGTTAAGCTCCCCCACTGAGTTAAGTCTTTCTGGGGACTATTAACTCCCTGAGCCCTACTACCCTCCTCTGAACCCTCTGTGCAGAGTACCTTCACCTTCCTCTTCAAAGCAAGCCAGTGGCGACATGGCAGGCCACCTCGGCAGTGGTGAGGGACAGGGCTGCGGTGAGAGCTCCTCAACAGGGACTGAGAGCCTTTTTTTTTTTTTTTAATAAAATCCTCTTGTTTAAGCCCACCATTCTTAACAAGTACCCGGCTTTTCACTCAGCTTAACTTTCTAAGTAGACTGGGGACTATCTGGGTGGGGGTCCAGCACATCCCAACTCTTCTCCCATCTCCAGGTATCCCCAGCTCCTCAATTTCTCTGGTAATGACCTAGCTGTGTCCACAGTCCCAGCGGGTGAACAACACCTCTGTGTTTCTCCCACAACATCTTTATTTCCCCCAGAAACTTCAAGCATCCAGGTCCATCCTGGTGCTGCTCTGTCCTCCCTTCTTTGGTAGGGGAGGAAGCTGTTGATTTGACTCTCCTCCAAGGATCCCGTGGCAGGTGCTGAGCCAGGGTCCCTGCAATAGTCCCAGGGACCCTACCATCCCAACACAATCTCCTTACCATCTGTTTTTCAATGTCCTCTACAATTTTGGCCTCTAAACCTTATATAAGCTGAGATTCTGTTGGCTGTTCAAGACTGTTCTTTTTGATGAACAAAATAATTGTTTGCAAAAGTGCACCACACAAATTAATGGTAATTTTATGGACAACTTTTTGACATCATGCTGTATCATTAAACTCTTTGCTGGGAGAGTTAACTGACAGATTCAAGGAACTTAGTAAATCAATTGAGGAATCTCCATCATCAGCCATCAATGAATATACTGAGAGCCCACCATGTCATAATACTTAGGAAATTATAGTAAACCACTATAATTTTACAAGTTATAAGATATGTATCAGTGTTTGTTTTGAAAACTCCATTATTTGAATTTAAGTAATATAAAACTTTTCTTTTAGTCAACAATATTTATATTTACATGATGATACTGAAAACACATCTTTGGGACATAAACATATCTATGACAAACAATGGATTTCTTTTTCTTATTATAAAAGTAGTACACATAGGCAAAAAAAATTTTAAAGTATGATAAAGAAAATATTTTTATATAACAGGAAAAAAAAACCAATAATTCCTTTACTTAGATGTAAATGGCTATTGCAGTGCACATAATTTTTTAAGCTTATGAAGTTTAGACTCTTTGCTTGAGTACACTGCCTTTTTTCATTATGACTTAGAATTATTTCCTCAGGCTATTTAAAACTCTGCAAAAACATTTTCAGTGACTGCATAATGTTCCTTCTATGGAGTATTATTTCCTTAAGTGGTCACTTAAGCTACTTTTATTACTTTCTTTTAATGGTGTTGCTATGAATTTTTTTATGCATAAATCTGTTTTAATATTTCAGGTTATTTACTAAATTAGGAAAAATTCCTAGAAATGGTTTATAAGGCCAACATTTTAAAGCATCCTCTTCTGGGAAGATTTCACTGTAGAAAAATAAATATCTTTTAATTCTCTACATGCATTTTTATATTGAAAATAAATCTAAGGAGAAAAAGTACACTACCTTTTAAAACTGAGATTATTATTTAAATTTAGCCTCAGGGTTTTTGTTTTGTTTTGATAGCTTACCTTTAAGAGAAAATGGGCTTTTTAAAATATTACTTATGAAAAAATAAAACATTTTACTTATTAAGATATTACTTATGCCCTGGCTGATGTAGCTCAGTATATTGAGTGCCAGCTTGTGAACTGCAAAGTCACTGGTTTGATTTCCTGTCAGGGCACATGCTTGGGTTGTGGGTCCCCAGTTTGAGGGCATGGGAGAGGCAACTAATGGGTGTTTCTCTAACAAATTGATGTTTCTCTCCTTTTCTTTCTCCTCCCTTCCCCTCTCTCTAAAAAGTAAATAAATAAAATCTTTTAAAAAATAAAATATTATTTACTTTTCATCAGGTTTGAAACTTACACTTAATTTGAGGATATAAGTTCAAATGTATACTTAGTTCAGTCAAATGCTTCTATTTTTCAATGCATCACATCTCCTTTTTCCTGTCTCTAAACATGCTCATCCAGCAGGGTTGTATCCTGATGCATCAGCAGTTTAATCTCACATGTACACCACTAGTTCATGATGTAAGTGTACACATTCATCTGTGGATAACAATGAAGGTCATCCTCAAACTTAGCAAATTTGGCACAAGAATTTAATAAGTGCATAAATTAATACTATAAAACAGTTCAATTGTGCTAGCCTGAAATGGAGAACATATGAAGAAAAGAGTAGAATCACCCAATTCTAAAATGAATTGGTAGAATGGTAATGGAATGACAGACTTGGGAAAATTTCCAGAAGAAATCTAGTCAAATAAAGGATTTTGTGTTTTAGTACCTATCATTTATTTATTAATTCACTTACCTGTTGAACTTACTGAAATATTTATTGAACATCTTTTATGTGTCAAACACTTGCTAGGCTCTGGAGTCAACAAAGAAAGATATAGGCCTGCCCTCCTGGAAGATATATTCTAGTGGAAGAGACAGACAAAAGGATATGAATAAATAAATAGTTATAAGCTATAATCTAGTCACTTTTATTTCTCAATATTATTTACATGAGACAAAGAAATTATTGGGGTTTTCCCCCCAAGAATTTTTAATGTTGTACTGATTAAGAAATAAATTAAAGACTTAGACTTAAGAGAAAATGTAAATTAACTCTACAGAGATTTTATAACTGATCATTATCATTCCCTTCATTTCCTTGTACTTATATCACCTACTCCCCACCCTTCAAAAAAACAAAACCAAAACAAAACAAAACAAAACAAAAAAACAAAGAATCAATTGGGATAAAATTCATACTCTTTGACCTAATCTTCAGTAGTTCCTTCTCCCTGGTTTGACTTTCCATGGTTTCAGTTACCAGGGATCAACAACCATGATCCAAAAATATTAAATGGATATTTCCAGAAATAAACAATTCATAAGTTTTAAATTGTGCTGAGTAACATGATGAAGTCTCATGCCATCCAGCTCTGTCCTACCTGAGATGTGAATCATCCCTTTGTCCAGCAAATCCATACATATATGCTATAGGCCTGTTAGTCACTTAGTAGCCATCTCTGTTCAGATCAACTGTTGTGGTATCACAGGTCTCCTACTAAAGTAAATAATATTAATTGCCCCCAAGTACAAGAGTGGTGATCCTTGGCAATTTGGATGCACCAAAATGAAGCCATAAGGTGCTTCCTTGAAGTGGCAAGGTGTGTATGTATAGTGTACATACACATTTTTATATTAAAAAAATATAATATATATCAAGTTCAGTACAATCTCAGTGTTCAGGCACTGGGACATATCCACTGTGGATAAGGGGGAACTACTGTAATCTGGTCTGACCCAACCTCAAATGTAGCATATTGTAGTAGAAGGTAAAATGTTCCAAATTTGTGGAGTAAGATTTCAGCAAGTGGCAATCCTAGAACTGAGACCTTAGAAAAGACATTTAATTTTTCAGAGTGTTAGTTTCCTTGGAAAAGTGATCTCTGAAATCCCTTCAAGCTTTAAAATTCATTGTCTATTCATCTAGCCTTAAAACAATTCTTCCATTATGCTCCTGTATATACTGGGAGTGGGAAGAAAGTGGTATGAGGAAGAGTAGAGGGTTGGGAAGAATAAGATTAATTCTTGTTTGATAGAAATAATGACTTTATAGTCTATAATGATCATTTTCACACATTACTGAATATTTTGAAAACATGTTTTTAATATCTGCCTAGCATTCCAACATATAGATGAAAGACTTAGTTTTTCTGGATCATCTCACTCAGTGTTCTAAATTTTAAATTGAATGTGCTCCTAGCCAGCTTACACAAATTATATGCCTTAAAATAAAACACACAAAATAAATACCTGCAACTTTTATTTCACCAATGTACTTCTGTATAAAGGCTTTAGCTTCAAAAATTATGGATTATAAAGATACATTAACATAAATCACCCAAACTAGCTCTTAAATATGGAGTCTGTTTTAATGCAAAACTGTCGTTGTCAATGTGAATTTCTATCCTGAAAGGAAATCTTGGCTATGGAACTATGTAAATAGAAAACCACTTTTAAAGCAGATTCAATTTTAGAATATGCTATTCCACATGTTTCTTTAAATAGGAAAGAACCAAGTTTGATAATTTCTAGTCTATGGCCATAACACCATGAATGTGCCAGATTTCATCTGATAATCTCTGAACTAAGCTTTTGGAATCTATGTGAACCATTTTCTGTAAACAGGAGGTTATATCATAAGATACTTTTAGCATTTTATCATTATCTAATGCAATATGGCTTTGAATTCCTGTATTTCTACTATCTTCATAGTAGCTAGCAATGGAACATTTATTCAGTATGTTGAACATAGTGTAACTACCCAAATATTATTTCATTTAGGATTTACAACAATTCTATGAGGTAGGTATTACTAACCTATTTCACACATAGGCAAAACTGAGGTGCAAGTTAAATTACATCTTCAAGGTAACATAGCTAGCTGCTAAGTAGGCAGAGCTACAATTTGAGTTCAGATGTAATTCCAATGACACTTTGCTTAACTGTTACCTTATTTTGCTTCTAAAAGTCACTTAAAAGCAATTTTCTTATAAAGTTTTATGCCTATAGGACACTCTCCAATAATGGAATCATATTTTTAGCAACTTAGCAATTTTTCTGTGTTCTTGCTTTTTCTCTTAACTTTAATCAAGAAAATTCACTTGGTCCACTTGATCACATTTCTAACCATATCTTCCAGGCCAGTAACCATAATTAAAACATGTCCACAAAAGGAAGATTGCATTTTTATAAAAAGTGCCCTCTAGTTCAATCTTAAGGCTATAGAAACATATTTTAATTCTATTTATAAAAGTGCACAAATAAGTGACTGGCTTTAATATTAGCCTGAAAAATCCTCCAAAGTAACATATTCAATTTCTTTTTCTAAATATATTTTATTGATTATGCTATTACAGTTGTCCCATTTCTCCCCTCTTATTCCCCTTCACCCTGCACACCCTCTCCCACCCACATTTCCCCCTTCAGTTAATGTCCATGTGTCATAAGTTCTTTAGCTTCTACATTTCCCATGCTATTCTTGCCCTCCCGTCTGTTTTCTAACTACCATCTATGCTACTCATTCTCTGTACCTTTTCCCCCTCTCTCCTCCTCCCACTCCCCTGTTGCTAACACTCCATGTGATTCTCCATTTCTGTGGTTCTGTTCCTGTTCTAGTTGTTTGCTTAGTTTGGTTTTGTTTTAGGTGTGGTTGTTAATAATAGTGAGTTTGCTGTCATTTTATTGTACATGTTTTTTATCTTCTTTTTCTTAGATAAGTCCCTTTAACATTTCATAAAATAAGGGCTTGGTGATGATGAACTCCTTTAACTTGACCTTATCCGAGTAGCACTTTATCTGCCCTTCCATTCTAAATGAAAGCTTTGCTGGATAGAGCAATCTTGGATGTAGGTCCTTGCCTTTTATGACTTGGAATACTTCTTTCCAGCCCCTTCTTGCCTGCAAGATGTCTTTTGAGAAATCAGCTGACAGTCTTATGGGAACTCCTTTGTAGGCGACTGTCTCCTTATCTCTTGCTGCTTCTAGGATTCTCTCTTTGTCTTTAATCTTGGGTAACTTAATGATGTGCCTTGGTGTGTTCCTCTTTGGTTCCAACTTCTTTGGGACTCCGTGGGCTTCCTGGACTTCCTGGAAGTCTATTTCTTTTGCCAGATAAGGGAAGTTTTCCTTCATTATTTGTTCAAATAAGTTTTCAATTTCTTGCTGTTGTTCTTCTCCTTCTGACACCCCTATAGTTCGGATGTTAGAATGTTTATAGATGTCCTGGAGGTTCCAAAGCCTCTCCTCATTTTTTTAAATTCTTGTTTGTTCATTCTGTTCTGGTTGGATATTTATTTCTTCCTTTTGTTCAAGATCATTGATTTGAGTCTCAGTTTCCTTCCCTTCACTATTGGTTCCCTGTACATTTTGCTTTATTTCAGTTTCAGAAGCCATCATTTGTTTCTTCATTTTGTGATAGAGCTCAATCAGTTTTGTGAGTATCCTGATTACCAGTGTTTTGAACTTTGCATTATATAGGTTGGCTATCTCCTCATTGCTCAGCTCTTTTTCTGGAGTTTTGACCTGTTCTTTCACTTGGGCCATATTTCTTTGTCTCATATTTCATATTTCATATTTCATATTATATTGTAGGTGGGTGGGGTGTTAGGTATTTACCAGGGCAAGGCAATACTCTTTGCTACATTGTGGTGCTGTCTGTAGGGGTGGGGTCAGAGAGGGAACAATGCACTTGCTTGTTCTGCTCTAGTCCCACTTTCCAATGAACTCTGTCATGTGAGTCTGGGAGTTTCTCCTGCCCTGGCAACCCCCATGGTAGTTGATAACCAGGTTGAGTCTTTAGTTTCCCTGTTCAGCCAGGCCCACCTTGCTGCAGGTTCACTCAGCCAGCCCCGCCTCCTCAGCCACCTGAATGGGTCCTCTCCACCCACCTGATTGCCCATCTCAGTCCCTCCTACCAGTCTGGTGAACATTTCTTTAACTATTTGGTTGTCGGTGATCCATATAGTTTGATTTTCTGGCACTTCTGGTTGTTTATTGTTTTTAGTTTGGTTGTCATTCTCCTTTTGGTTGTATGAGGAAGTGAAGGGTTTCTACTTATGCCTCCATCTTGGCCAGAACTCCTAGCTTCATGAATTTTTTAATTATATTTTATTGATTATGCCACTACAGTTGTCACAATTTTTCCTCCTTTCCCTCACTTCAACCAGCACACCCTACACCCTTAGGCAAGCCCCACACCGTGGTTCATGTCCATGGGTCATGTGTATAAGTTCTTTGGACATGTCATTTCCTATACTGTACTTTAGGTCCCCATGATTATTTGGTAACTGCCTATTTGTAGCTCTTAATCTCACCTCTCCAGCCAATCCCTCACACCCCCTCCCATCTGGCAACCATCAAAATGCTCTCCTTATCCATGATTCTGTCTCTGTTCTTCTTAGTTTGTTTTTTTTATTCAATTGTTGATAGATATGTATTTATTGACCCTTTATTGTTCATAATTTTGATTTTTTTCTTTATAAAAGTCCCCTTAGCATTTCATATAATAAGGGCTTGGTGATGATGAATTCCTTTAGGTTTTTTCTTGTCTGGGAAGGTCTTTATTTGCTCTTTGATTCTGAGTGATAGCTTTGCTGGATAGAGCAATCTAGGCTATAGGTTCTCACTTTTCATGATTTTGAATGTTTCTTGACAATTCCTTCTAGCCTGCAGAGTTTCCTTTGAGAAATCAGCTGACAGTCTTATGAGAACTTGCCTATAGGTAAATAACTGCTTTCTCTTGCTGCTTTTAAGTTTCTGTCTTTATCTTTGACCTTTGGCATTTTAATTATAATGTGTCTTGGAGTGGGCCTCTTTGCATCCATCTTGTTTGGGACTCTCTGTGCTTCCTGGACTTGCATGTCTATTTCTTTCACCAAAATGGGGAAGTCTTCTTTCATTTTTTTTTCAAATAGATTTCCAATTTCTTGCTCTGCTTCTTTTTCCTTCTGGCACGTCTGCACTGTGAATGTTGGAATGCCTGAGGTTGTCCCAGAAGCTTACTTATACTATCATCACTCTTTTGGATCCTTTTTTTTCTTTTGTCCTCTTGTTCTGATTGGTTGTTTTTGCTTCCTTATATTCCGAATAATTGATTTGTTTCTCAGCTTCATCCACTCTATCATTGTTTCCCTGTAAATTGTCCTTCATTTCTATCCTTTATTTCTGGCTGGATATTTTCTATATTGTTAAGGTCCTCACTGTTTTCTTTGATTATCATTATCACTGGTATTTTGAACTCTGCATCTGATAAATTGCTTATCTCCATTTTGTTTAGTACTTTTCCTGGAATATTGATGTGTTGTTTCATGTTTCTTTGTCTCCTCATTTTGACAGCCTCACAGTGTTTTTCTCTATGTATCAGGTATTGGTGTCATGACTCTTGGTCTTGGTAGCATGGCCTAATGTAGTAGGTGTCCTGCAGGGTCCAGTGGTACAGCTTCCCTTATCACCTAAGCTGGTTATTTGAGATGTACCCTTCAGGTGGGCTGAGTACATCCTCCTCTTGCAGTTGAGTCTTCTGCCTCAACTGCAAGGTTGCCTTTGGCAGGTCAATGGGAGGGATTTACCTAGTCCAGTCAGTTGCAAGGATTGGCTGTGACCACTGACCACCATCCTCCACACTCCGTGGAGTATTGGCTGTATAGAGGCAGGGTGGTGGCGCTACAGTGGGGTCTGTAGCTGTCCACTGGTTGCACAGGCACTGGGGTTTCCCAGGCAGTGCAGGCCAATGTCATCCCCCACCTGTGCTCTGCCAGGGGCCACCCTGCTTGAGCAATCTGAGATGGCTGCTTCTTGTGCTGAGCCTGGAGGTTCCCAGATAAAGCCAAACTGTGAAGCTAGGCTGGCTGCTTTTAATCCTGGCCCTATGGCCACTTAGCAAAAGGTATGAAGGTTGGAGGCTCTCTGAGGCTGGCTATTGCTTGCTTGAGAGGATTTAGGTGGTTATGAAGCATGAGCCAAGACCAGTCATTCATATGGGAAAGCCACTGTTAACAGCTAGTTTGGGCTCATAAGATGGGTGGGACAGAGTCTCAGGGGATATCCAGGGCAGGGCAAACAGTTGGCCAGGTTGATGGAATCTCAGATATGGCACTTGCCTGCTGGCTCTGTTGCTCTGTGGGAGCAGGGTTCAGAAAAGGGACAATGTCCTCTGTCCACCTTTCTGTATGGCAGAAAGCTGTCCTCCAGCTCTTGCCTTGATGCCAGACACTTCAGTTCCTTCATATATGCCACTGGTACCTTTCAAGCTGCTACCCTGGTGCTTGAGCTCAGAAGGAGTAAATCTAATTAAGTCCATATTAAGAGAATTTTTTTTTAAAGACTAAATGTGTTTGCCCATTTCTCCATGGGTGATTTATTGGGTTGGCCAAAAAGTCCATTTAGTATTTTCTGTAAAATAAAATACATGATTTTCATTTTGACCAATACCTTTATGATTTGGTATTTTTAGTATGTTGGCTATCTCTGATGTGGTAATAACATTGACTGTTCTCAAGTAATGTCTTGATTTCATCACTTATCAAATCCAACTGGCCTACCTGACCATGAAGCACTGTCCAGCAAGAAATCTTCACAAACCAATTTTGACACATTCAAACAGTCACAGAATCTTCTCCATACACTGCACAAATCTTTTTTTGTGTTTCAGTTGCAATTTTACTTTTCTTGAAAAAATAGAGCATAATATCCCTAAAATGTTGCAGATTTTCTTCCATCTTCAATACTAAAATGGCTATATAAAAATTCACCAATTTTGGTAAGTTTTTTTTAAATGCTAATATAACAACATCATAATATATAATCTAGCAAAATTGTTGAGTGAAGACAACTATGCACTACTAGAACCATAAACAAACTTTTTGGCCTACCCATTAGAGGTGTAACTGCGCCCACCACACTGAGTGTTCAGCATCACCAGATCTCGCCTCAAGCGACTTTCATTGGATTGAAAAAGTCCTCAAAGGGAAATATGTTGCCAATGTGGAAGAGGTGAAACAAAAAATGGCAGAAGCACTAAAACGCATCAAAACTGATAAGTTCAAAAACTGGTTTGAGCAGTGGGAAAAAAGTCTTGATAGGTGTATTCCATTAAATGGAAAATACTTTGAAAGTGACTGAAGTTTAAACATGTAAAAATAAATGAACAATTTTTATTAATAAACTCTGTTTTGGGGGGTGGTCCCCCTCATACAGAAGGCAACTGATTGATATTTCTTGCTCACATTGATTTTCTTTCTCACTCCGTCCCTCCTTCTCTCTCCTTTTCTCTCTCCCTCCCTTCCTCTCCCTCTAAAAATCAATAAACATTTCCTCAGGTGAGGATTAAAACAATAGCTATGCTATAGGACACAGATTAGAAACATCTTTAAACCAGATATTATTAAACCTTGTCCTTTTTGTCTTTATTATATTACTTCTAGTTGAGTAGTTGTTTCTGAAGGGTAGAAATCCTAAGCATACCTATTTGTAGCACAATGTCTCAAATATATGATAGTAAACAAGTACAAAACAGTCTTAAAAAACGGTACCTTGTTTGTAATATATACTCAATATCAGTTTATTTCAATTATAAAATAGCCTTCATATTCAATATATAACAAATATTTACCACTTTATATACTTTAAAATTTTAACCTGGACATTATAAGAATACATACAAGTGGCCCTGGCTGGTGTAGCTCAGTGGATTGAGTGCGGGCTGAGAACCAAAGGGTTACTGGTCCAATTCCCAGTCAGAGCACGTGCCTGGGTTGTGGGCCAGGTCCTCAATAGGGGGTACATGACAGGTGACCACACAATGATATTTCTCTCCTTCTCTTTCTCCTTCCCCTCCCTCCTCTCTAAAAATAAATAAATAAAATCTTTGAGGGAAAAAAAGAATACATACAAGTGATTCTCAAATTTGTTCAGGTTACACAGCAACTGGTGATCCTCTCTCTCTCTCTCTGTTTAGTACCATTCAGTCCCATCAAATATTTTTCAATGCCAGTTAACTGTGCTGAAGACAGAAAACAAGAACAGACTTAGTCCCAGATATTAGGAAACTCTCAAAACCAGGAAATATATCTCTATGTATGTATGCATGTATATCCACTACCTCAGCCACACATCAACACACAAATAAAAGGCTGTTTATGTATATATTAGTTTTATATTGCTACCGTAAAAAATACCCACCCTAACCTTAGTGGCTTGAAACAACAGAAATTTATCATCTTACAGATCTGAAGGTTAGAATTCTAAAATGGGTCTTAATGGGATAAAATCAAAGTATAGGAAGAGCTGCATTCCTTTCTGGAGACTCTCGGGGAGATGTTTTTTTCTTGCCTTCTAGAATCTGCCCTCATTTCTTGGCTCATGGTCTGCTTCTACCTTTAAAGCTAGCAATAGGTGATTGAGTGTTTCTCATATCTTAGCACTCAATTGACTCTTCTGTTTCCCTCTTTCACATTTAGAAGAATCTTGTAATTATAATCAGCCTGCTCAGATGACCTGAGATAATCTATTTTTAGTCATCTGAGTAGAAACCTTAATTTTATCTGCAACCTTTACCATGTAACATAACATATTCATAGATCCTGGGACATGGACATCTTTGGGAGGACCAATATTCTGTTACTATATATGAACAGTTTTTCCTCTGTTTTTCTTCAGGAATTCCATCAACCCTATCATCTATCTCTGAAATTATGCAAACTGTTCACCTGTGTGCAAGATTCTAGGGAAAGGATTTATAACTTCCAAAAATTTTCAAAGTTTCATAATCACTGGATGAGTTCATAGACTACCAATATTCCTTAGAAGCATAGTTTGGTGGTATCAATAGTTCCAAATTTTATATTGGCCTTTTACCTGTATATTTTTAGCTTTGATTAGAAAACATTAACATGGGTTGAGAGTTTTTGCTTAAGTATATTTTACTCTCTGTGTTTTTAGAAGTAGCAGTAATCATGCTACACTTATGTGTTACACTTATAAACATTTTTCCATGTTGGTATGCATCATTTTGTGATGGTGCTAACAGTAAGTGCAGTAGATATTCCACAATTTACTTCATAATCTTCCTGACCTGACCAGTGTGGCTCAGTTGGTTGGATGTCATCATCCTGCAAAGCAAAAGGTTGACAGCTCATCCTGGTCAGTGTGTGTATGAGAGGCAATGTATCAATGTCACATCAATGTTTCTCTCCCTCATAAATAAAATATTTAAAATAATAATAATCTTCCTCTTAGACATTTGATTCTTCTATCCCTAATTTTTTACTATTATATTTAATCTTGAATGAGGATCTTGTATAGATTCCCCCCCCCCTATATTTTGGATTTATTTCACCTAGACTAGATTCCTGAAATTAGAGTTTCTGGCAGAAAATATATGAATATCTTTTTCTGGTTGGGGGGGGGACACTACAGTTGTTATTATTATCAAGTATTCTTACTATTATTATCATATATTCTATCAACAATATATTATCTCTACATAAAACCCAACTAAAACATTTCTTTCAGTTCAAAAACAAGGAAATGTTTGTTTTTCTTGAAGAAAAAGCATATTTTCCCTCACAAACAACAGGGAACAGGGAACCAATGATATCTTTTAATATATTTTATTGATTATGCTATTATTACAGTTGTCCCATTTTCCCCCTTTATTCCCCTCCACTCTGCTTACCCCCTCTCAACCACATTCCCCTGCTTCAATTCATGTCCATGGGTCATATATATAAGTTCTTTGGTTTCTACATTTCCTATACTATTCTTAACCTCCCCTTGTCTATTTTGTACCTACCATTTATGCTACTTATTCTCTGTACCTTTTCCTCCTCTCTCTCCTTTCCCCTACTCCACTGATAACCCTCCATGTGGTCTTCATTTCTGTGATTCTGTTTCTTTTCTAGTTGTTTCCTTAATTTGTTTTTGTTTTTGTTAAGTTTGGTTATTAATAACTATGAGTTTGTTGTCATTTTACTGTTCATATTTTTTATCTTCTTTTTCTTAGATAAGTTTTTAACATTTCATATGATAAGGGCTTGGTGATGATGAACTCCTTTAACTTGACCTTATCTGGGAAGCACTTTATCTGACCTTCCATTCTAATGATAGCTTTGCTGGATAGAATAACCTTGGATGTAAGTCCCTGCTTTTCATGACTTCAAATACTTCCTTCCAGTGCCTTCTTACCTTCAAGGTTTCTTTTGAGAAATCAGCTGACAGTCTTATGGGAACTCCTTTGTAGATAACTGTCTCCCTTTCTCTTGTGGCTTTTAAGATTCTCTCCTTATCTTTAATCTTGGGTAACTTAATGATGATTTGTCTTGGCGTGTTCCTCCTTCATTCCAACTTCTGTGGGACTCTGAGCTTCCCAGACTTCCTGGAAGTCTATTTCCTTTGCCAGATTGGGGAAGTTCTCCTTCATTATTTGTTCAAATAAGTTTTCAATTTCTTGTTCTTCCTCTTCTCCTTCTGGTCCCCTATAAGTCAGATGTTGAAATGTCTCAAGATATCCTGGAGGTTCCTAAGCCTCTCCTCATTTTTTTGAATTCTTGCTTCTTTATTCTGTTCTGGTTGAATGCTTATTTCTTTCTTCTGGTCCATACCATTGATTTGAGTCCCGGTTTCCTTCCCATCACTGTTGGTTCACTGCACATTTTCCTTTATTTCACTTAGCATAGCCTTCATTTTTTCATCTAATTTGCGACCATATTCAACCAATTCTGTGAGCATCCTGATTACCAGTGTTTTGAACTGTGCATCTGATAGGTTGGCTATCTCTTCCTTGCTTAGTTGTCTTTTTTCTGGAGCTTTGAACTGATTTTCCATTTGGGCCATTTTTTTTTTTTTTTTTTTTTTGGTCTCGGTGTGCCTGTTACATAGTAAGGGAAAGAGCCATAGGTGTTCACCAGGGTGTGGCAACCCCTTTTGCTGTGTTGTGACACTGTATGTGGGGGAGTGATTCAAGAGAGAACAAAGCTACTTGCTCCACTCTCTACTGGTTTTCAGTCACTTCCTCAGCTACCCACAATCAAATTGAGCCCTTCTGGTGCTGATTCCCAGGTGAGTGGGCTTGTGTACATTCTAGGACCCCATTGGTCTCTCCAGTGAACTCTCCTGTGAGGCTGGGAGTTTCTTCCACTGCCATCTCAACCCCCACAGGTGTTTTCAATCAGAGGTTTGAGGTTTATCTCTCTGAGCTGGAACACTGCGTTGTGCATTTTGTCTCACTTTCCAGTTGTTTCTCCCAGTTTATCTGCACGTGAATGTGGGACTGCCCAGCCTGCAATCTGCCACTTTGTCAAGTCCGCCATCCACCTCCTTGCCCACCAGCTGCAGCCTTGCCCACCCTGGCCCTTCAGCCACCACCTGGCTGCCAGTGTCAACCCCTCCTACCAGTCTGAATGTTTCTTCTTTAACGCCTTGGTTGTCGGACTTCCATACAGTTCAATTTTCTGTCAGTTGTGGTTGTTTTTTGCTTTTAAATTTGTTGCCCTTCTTTTGATAGCTCAGGGCACAGTGTGTCTACCTATGCCTCCATCTTGGCCAGAAGTCCCAATTGTGATATGAATATCTTTACAACCCTATTTTATATATCATTAAATTACTTTCCAAAAAAAGGCTATTTTAATTTACATTGACACTAGCCTTTACTTATTCATGCCATTAATGTGAAGGGAGTGTTTTTCTTCATGTCTCTAGTATTTTCTAACCTGTCCTCCAGTATCCTTCTTGAAGTATTTCTGAAATACAAACCTGATCACATCACTCACTGGTTTAAGATTTTTCAACTGTATCAAAATAAGGGTGACACGCAAGGCCCTTCATGGTTTAACCTCTATCCTCTTGATCAGGCTAATCTTTTTCACCTGTAAATGTACTAGGCAACCAATTACATTAACTACCTGAATTTTCTTGAACCTCTTTGTTTTCTTTCACTCCAGTGATTCTGCTTTAAGTGCTTTCTATGGCCTATTTCTACCCTCTCTTTTACACTGGGAACACTCCAGTCTTTTAAGGCTCCACTAAGGTCTTCTTCAAGAAAGCTCTATCAAGCTGTCCTTTAAGACACAGCTCAACTATAACTTCCTCCTGAAAAGTTTCCCTGAGCCACTTACTACTAACCTAGGTTAAACACTGTTCCTCTATATTCATCAAACTACAATTTTTAATTTTTTAAAAAGGTTTTATTTATTTATTTTTAGAAAGGGGAAGGAAGGGAGATACAGAGGGAGAGAAACACCAATGTATGGTTGCTTCTCATGTGCCCTCCACTGGGGGCCTGGTCTGGAACCCAGTCATGTGCCCTGACTAGGAACCAAAGAAGCCACCCTTTGGTTTGCAGGCCAGCATTCAATCCACTGAGCCACACCAGCCCAGACCAAACTACATTTTTTCAAAAAAATTTGTTTCTTCTATTAAACTTTCAGATCATTGCTAACAGAGACTACATTCTTTTCATCTCTATTTATCCAATTCTGATATGGTAAGTGTTTGATGAATTCTGTGTGCCAGTACACATCAAACTCTTCAAAACACACATACATTTTGGGAGCTGCTATTCCCACATCTGGGCAATCTTCCAATAAATAAGCAAATAGATGAGAAAGTCAATTAGGAAAAGTATGCATAAAGTGTTCTGTTCAGAACTATTTTTCCAAAACCAAAATATTGGAAACAATCTAAATGCCAGTAATAGATGAATCATAGGATCAGCTAAATAATATGTAATATGTAGCCCATCAATTTGGAATGAAGGTTGTTAAAAATGGTATACTAACTCAGACTCTTATGACATGTTAAGTTGAAAAAGACAAAGAAACTCTCACACTAAAACCCTATAAAATTAGATGTACAGACATGAACTAAAACAAACATAAAAATATATGAGTTGTTTGTGTGGACTATGATTTCACACATATTTCCTACTCTGCCTCTTAAGGTCCAAGAAGAAGACACTGAAGTATCAATGAGTACACCTAGCCTTGATCTCTAATACCATTCTCC